TTGCTGTGCCTGGCCTGTTGATATGCAGCAGGTTTTTTTGGCTTACTGGTTTAGAAATAACTTGAACTTTCTAAAAACTGCTTTCCTACTTTTGTTATTCTCTCGTTCTTCATCTTTCTCCACCTCAGACTTATTTTTGGTGTTTGTCTGCTTTACTGTGTGGGATGTCTTTATGCTGGACGTCTTGTGCAATGTGAGAATTCCCCCCAGTGCCTGCAACCATTTGGGGCATCCCTTTTAGTTTTGGTTTTAGGCCTCCCAGTTCACCTCCAGTGAGTTATTTCATAAGTTTGTCCATATTGAACACTGACATGAAAAACTAATTTAGCTTTTCTTCTATGGCCTTATCTTTACTGAACATTCCCCTTATAGTTTGATAACTTCTTAGTCCTTTCCAGCAAGTGCTCACAGATGGGCATTACCTGAACTTCCTGACCTGACACACTTTTTAAAGCTTAATTTGAAAGCAGTAATTTTCATGTAGTTTTCCATTTGCCTTTATACTGAACATCCTTCTTAGTAAAAGGACAAAATATATTTGAGTTTTTAAAAAACATTGATTATCTTTAGTTATTACATCATTCTCAGTTGATAGATCAGCCTGATGCAGAGCTTTTAGTGTGTAACTTGTAAGGACACCTGAAGGGTTATATTTTGTCTCAATTAAAAAAAAAAAAATTCAAATCATCAAATTAGTCAATTTACTCTGACTTTACTCCTCCACTGCAGAAAATTTAAATAATCTTTCCAGAAAGACTTCATGAAGCACCACTGTTCTGCCCAGGGAGAGAATGTTAGAAGTGAGAGGACATGATGGTGCATTTCTATAGGGAAGTCTGAACAGGATGTGGTAACAAGATCAGCATGTACACACTATAAGAGGGAATTGCCTCTGGATGGAAGAATTTTTGAGTTAAGGACACAGGTGCTGTAGGACTGCAAATTCTACAGCAAAAAAATGTTCTTGAGCTCTGGAGGTGCTGTGCACAGAACCACTGCCTCTCACTTCTTTTTTTATGCCTGTGGCTTCATGAAATTTGAGCCAGGAAAATGGAGCCATTGATCTTACCTGTGCCAAGTTATCTCTGGCAGATCCAACATGTAAAACAGCAGCTAATCCTTCAGATGATACTTAAGTATCTCAGGGGCACAGTGGGGAGGAAAAAGCAACTCTGTGGGTTTCTAAGGCTCTCAAAGATCAACACTTACTCCAGTATAAAAATGTTTGAATTGCCTTTACAGTTACTTAATTTCCATGCTTATAAGAATATACAGTGTTTTTCTCAAGCCTCTTGTTTCAGAAAGTGCTGTTATCTTTGACGTATGCAGTGACATTTACCATAGTAAAGTCCTGAAAACACTTTTTATCTTACACATAGTACAATGATGGGATGCAAACTTACTTCATAAGCTAATGGACAATAGGGAGGCATTTTAAATAAAATCTTGGAAGCCTGCCCTTTATATTACTTAATTTTTTAGACATTACACATTTCAGGGCTGGGCTTTCAAGGGCTAATAAAAGTTATTTCCTGGTATTTAGCTCACCAAATTAAACTTAAGCTATTTAGTTTAGCTGCAGGATGCCAAATTCCCCAGTTGAAAATAGTATCTAGATTTAAGCCGTTACATGTACTAAAGTAAAATAAAAAGTTAAAGCCAAGAAATAGTCTAAGTGGTGACACTGTTACAACCATGAACAGGAATGCATCAGGAGCACTTGTTCTTTACAAATGCCTTCTCTTTCTGCAGCAATCTACTGGCATGTGTGGGGATAACATTCCAACATTTTTCATGCTGTTCTGCAAGCTGTGTATTTTATGAGAAGCCACTAAGCCACTAATACTGGAGCTACGGGGAGAGGGAAGGAGTAGCAACATCTGGGAAGACATGCCTCTAACCAACATCTGCCTTACAGCCAAGGCCAGTGACCCTGAGCTCTGGAAGAGCAAGTTCCAAACATTCACTCATTATCAGCTACTATGCCAAAACAAAGACCTGTGCTTCAGCAGTCTGGGGAAAGAAGATAATCCAGGAGTAATTTCCCAAGAACTTTATTACTCAAGAGATTTTTTTTTTTTTTTGCACCCACAAGGTAACACAGGCAAACGCTACTGCAAAGGAAGCATCAAGTTTTAACTAACAGTAGTGGATGTGGGAGAGGAAATCAGTTAAAGGAGTTTAAGTGGCAACAAAAGCGCCAGGAGCCAATGCCTAAGGGACTTGCCAGTTTTGCAGTAACAGCAAGAGCCCAAGAACACTGCACGTTCCCACACAGGATTCCAGTATTATGGGGGTGCCCAACCTCTTAGAAACATCATGAATACAAAAAGAATCATGTACAACATTTTATTACAAAACTGTTAAAAAAGTAATACAATGCAACAAAATACTACAAAATACAAGATCAGCTATTAAGCTACCTTTGTTTTACTTAGCTAATAAGAAACACCTGGCTATCAGTCACTGAATTTCAATAAAACCATTAAATATGCAGAAACAGCAGAAACATTCAACAACTGTTTTTTTCCAAACCGAACTGTAGCAGCCCTTGGCGACTACTTACATTATAAACTGAAGTCTCCCTACAAAGAACCACATTACTTATACACAATTCTGTACAGATTTTTATACTGAAGCTAACAATGAGCTGCACTTGAGTTCACATTCTTAGCAAAATATTGGATTCTGAGCATAAAACTTTACAGCAGGACATTAATTTATTCTTCATCCTCATCTTCTTCCTCCTCTTCCTCCTCCTCTTCCTCTTCTTCCTCCTCCTCCTCTGGTTCTGCTTTCTTCTTAGATCCTGCAGGCCTCCCTGGGCCCTTTTTCCCTACATCACTCTTGCTCTTGGCACGATATGCTGCAATATCCTGCAAGAAAAATACTATTAAGGTGCTAGCAATTGAACGCTGAAGACAAATTTGGACTGCTTTGGTATTTCAATACTACTGTACTGCATAGATCAGATACAGTGCATGCAAAAAATCAGAATTTCCACCTTGGGACTTTTATGCTTAAATCTTTAAGCAAAAGAACATGCAATGCAGACAGTTTTAAGAATTTTATGACCACTGTGCTTTGGAGTCTGACTACATTTATTTTAGCAAGCAGGTGACCTGCTTTCTGGCAGTAAGGCATCCTACTGGTAAAATCTCTAGACATGCAAAACCCACATCCAGGTTCACTGTAAGGGTTCGAGATACCTGCCCCGCCACACCTTTCCATGTCTTCTAAAGCCTCACAAACATTGGCATAAGCACTAAGAATTATAAGCCCCATGTAGTTTGGGTGCAAGACACCCTAAGTCAAATATTTACAGTGAGCTCCACAATTTTATTACTTTTACTGTACCTTTTCATACTTCTCCTTTAGTTTTGCAGCCTTCTGTTCATATGGCTGTTTATCTTTGGCCGACTGTTCGGACCACATTTCACCTAATTTCTTTGCTGTATCTCCAATAGACAAGCCAGGGTGATCATTTTTGATTTTCGGACGGTGTTCAGAACAGAAAAGGAAGAATGCAGATCTACAATCAAGAGACAGTGGTTAAAGTAAAGTATTAGAACTAATGCTTTTTTCTGCGTGGGAGGAAGGAGTCATAGAAACACTCACGGTGGTCTTTTAGGAGCGTTGGGGTCCTTTTTCTTTCCCTTCTTCTCGCCTTTGGGAGGAACATAGTTTTTCATCTCCCTGTCATAACGAGCTTTGTCTCCTTTAGCCATTTCTTCAAACTTTCCTTTTTCCTTGCTTGACATTGTCTGTGGACAGACGGAGGGGAAAGAAGAGTCTGGATGAGATAAAGCAGCTACTGACCCACTAACGCCTAAGCAGCAGCTGCTACCAGAGATCTTTTCCCAGCAGCCCGGAGCAGGGGCGGGGGCTGGCCCGGC